GACACTTAATAAAAAGAAAATGTCTGGGCAGAAGATACATGCAGATATGTTAAACATTGCTTGTCAATGGACTTTTGTTATGAAACCGATAAATTTATGACATTTTTACAGAAATAAGGAGGCATCTCAAGACAAGACTCTCTGAGTACTGAATATGATGTTTTAAATTGCAAGCTAGAAAATTAGCTAAACTTTGCATAGTACTTATTACATAACATAGCTAGCTTGATGCTCACTATCAGCACTATCTGCATAATTTTTGTATGTTCTATAACTTAAATTGTTCTATTTATTTATATGTTCTTTGTTTATATCATCTATGCAGGGGCGTTGCTAGAGATTTTGGGCCCCATGAAAGTATATCATATTAGGCCCCCCAGTCCAAACCAATCCAGTTATTTTCCTAATTTTTTAGGGCCCCTGTCACTCAGGGGCCCTTGGAATCGTCCTAGCTTTCCTCCCCCTTACGGCGCCCCTGCATCTATGACTTAAGTTTTGCAGATCACGAGCAGACCTGCACATTCAAAAGACTAGTTTGTATGAACTAGAACTCAATGAATCATGTCATTGGTGATGCATTAGGAAGATAAAACATGAGATAAATATCACTCATCAATGTCAATGCATAAAATGATCCTTGACTTGCTTATCTGCCTCACCTGAAGATCTTGGCTTATCTAAATAATGCTGCCCCCCCCACCCCCCCTCAACTGCAGATCTCAGGGGCTTAGAGAAGATTATCTCTTCCCTCAACTTAGGAGTATGTTTTCCTAATATTACCCATGCATATCCAGACTTAAGGAGGATAAAGGCAATGAGTCATTCACAGTGTAGGTCCCACTGAACCAGTGATGGAATCCAATTGGGCAGCCGGAGGCTCTGTATGCATTTAGGTTCTTCCGAGTGCTCCTGAAAAGTTACTTCGCTTTTTACACAAAACCTAACTAAATTAGGTATTTTTGGAGAATTGTTTAGAAACGTTTAGTTATGATTGCTAGAAAGTGTAGGTTGTTCATATTACTTTTAGGGTTTCCTTACTTGTGGATAACTTTGTGGTTCCAGGTTGTGTTGCTAAATAGGATTCGCTTTGGCTGATAAAGCGAATCTACAAACACCATGGGCTCTATTGTGACGATCTAATGCAAAGTGTAAAGCTCAAAGCGCAACTAACATTTATGGGCGTGTCCAACTCCATTTTGCTATTTTGACGGCAGAAAAAGCAAACTTTGTGCCAGTGCAAGTGCAAAAAGGTTGTCCTAACTAATTCTTCATACAGTAGGTGAGTTTTGGGTGTAGCATGCAATGAACCAATCAGAATGGCACATCACCTCAGCTTTAACGGGCAGGGGCGCATGAGCTAAGGTGGACTGCTATTTTAAAGGCGTGTTTACCTGCAAACCAGACTGGTTTTCGCCTGAGGAAACAGGTGTGCTTATTGTATGAAAATGCGCAAGCACATAATTTATGGGAGCACCTAAGCCTTACGGGGTGAAGCAGGAGTAGCATGAGGTAGCAGCGAGTGTGTCCTCGTTTTCTAGCGTCATTACTTCACCCGCGCAGTGCAGAAAGCGGTATAATGATGTCAGAAGACGGGGAAGCTCACTGCTGACAGAGAGCAGCGGCTGGGAACGGGGACTTAATTATGCTTGTGTTTTTTTCATTGTAATTTTGGGTCTGTAGTTCGCAAAAAATAAATAAAAGTGCAATCTTTATTCAAACAAAACACAACCTACAGTTTTACAGTGTTTTGAAATTAGGTGGCTTATTTTTCTGCATGTCACAATTTAGATTTCTTACCAGGCTACAGACGATACAGCTCTTCTGCCAGCTGACCCCTCCTTGCCCGCGCTGATGCCGGCATACACTCATTTGTTGGCTTCGGCGCATGCAGTTCAGCAGCACACCTTCTAATGTCCTCCAATGTGACCTCATTTACGTCCAACAGACATCCATCATGCATGCCAATGTTACACAACATATAACATGACACAAAGAATGCTGCGACCTTCTGAGGGCTGTATTGTAATGTTCCACCTGACTTATCTAAATATTTGAAACGCGTTTTCAGCATCCAAATGTCCTTTCAATTATAATATATGCTTAATTCTGATAATGAACTTGAAAGATGTTTTTGAGGATATGGTTTGTTCTTTGCTTAATATATATTTTACTTTTGCTGTTTCGATAAACAGTATGATTACATGAAAGGACCAGATGTACTCTATAAAAAACGTATATAAATGAAATTAAGTAAAATAACAAAAAACCATTAGTGTACTTCCAGCGCGTATCTGTGTCAGTAATGAACATCGTGCAGGCGCACATTTATAAAATGGCCCGCTTAAATAACGTTTAACAATGCGCCACTGACTTTACACATGGTTTTTATTGGTTAAAGTGTGACATCATTTCACTGCCTTATAATAGCAATGCGCTGACAATGCACCCAACCATGCCTCATTTAAAGAACATCACTCCTACGAGTGGAAAGTGGGCACAAAATGATTTGCTATTTTGATGACGTGCACATGCCGTGAAAATGAGCAATGCACTGGTACGAAACTAGCAAAACGTCTGTGTGTTGCGCTTTGCGCCGATGGAAGAGAGGGCCCAATATCTATCTGATTTGGTCTCGGTTCAGGGATTGAAGGGTGGCTACAAACTTGCACAGTGTCAACTTAGTTGGTCACTTCAGCTCAGTAACTTGGTTAAATGAGTCAACTTACAGGCTCAGCTTGTCTACCAGTTGCCCAATAAGCTCAACTTGCAGTTCAGGTACCATAGTTCACCTAACTGACTTGAAAGAGCAGCTGAAAAGAGAATTACTAACCTCTAAAAGACAATATGGGTGTTTTGGGATTCAGCCCAAAATGTCCCTTTCCCAGTGGCGGGCCAGGTATTTCACACCTAGGTTTTCAGTGGTGTCCTACCTGAATTAATCCACCTCTTAATACAGTGGAAACTGCTGTTAGTGATCACTTCTGTCTGGGTGAAGTTGATCACTATAAGCAAATGATCATTATAACTGATTTTTTTCTTTTCTTTCTGTCTCAGGCAGATTGCCATCTAAATGACATTTGTATATTTATTACATGAATATAAGGCAATAAAATGGACAGCGTTGCTAATTATTGAATTTCATTGACTCAAAATACAGTACAGCTATTTCAAATGCTTTTCAAATTACAGTACTTTACAAATTTAATTAAAGAACTGTGTATAATTCAATTTCACTATAATACAGTACAGTACTTTACATAAAATATAGCTTATTGTAGTTTCGCTGCTGCATCTCGGTGGCTCGTTTGTTTGTGATTTATCATAAGGTCTGATGAGTCTATATTTGTCATTGAGAGAAAATGACTTTCTTTTTCCCGTCATGCTTTATGTGTGCACAGCATTAGCCTCAGGTAGCTAGCCAGAAGCAGATGGGTATCTGCAAGGCAAAGTAGGCAATTAAAACCAAAAAGAATTACCATAATTTTAATTTTTTCCATATGTTGCTATGTATAACAAGACTAAAAATGAACACTGTAAGCAGATTACTTGATTACCATAAGCAAATTATTTAAACAGTAGTTGTATAGGAATGATTCTGTCCAAAGATTTTTCATTCATGTAAGTGGTTGATCACTATAACCATGATCACTATAAGCGGGTTCCACTGTACCATCATTACGATGCCACAGTTATAGAAAGCATAAATATTATTCAGTATAGACTTGCTAGCTTCGGGGTTGGCCGACCTTTTCTCATGATGTCCAACTTTTCATGAAAAGTCCATCTTGTAAGTATATCTGCGACCAAAGCTATTTCCTTTCCTCTTTCAGCCATTGTGGGTTGAAAAAATAGCTATTAAATCTACACACATATGTTTTAGCTTGAGCAGGTTGCTACAAATTCTGTTTGCTAGCACTGACTGGTTCGTTTCTCTGACCATCCAATCACAGGACATGAAAATACTGTCGTTATTGTATGCATGCTAGATGGCCACGGTGTCCCCAACTAGAATTCTGATTGGTTATAGCAACAGTTTCATTGCCATCTATTTTAAGCTACAGGCGTCTGCACTATTGATTCTGAAGGCTCAAGGCAGATTTCTTTTACCCAGGCAACACAAGAAAGCTGAAATGTGATTGGATAAAAGCTCTAACATAAACATTGACTACTGGAAGAGCAAGAGAGAAGCTATGAAATGAAGAGAACAGACTATTTGAAATGATTTAATACATATTCCTGGAAAAATATAATAATGAAATAAAACAAGTCCGTGATTTTGACTTGGGTGCATGCACAACGTTGGAAAAACTTTGAAGCTAATATAAGAATAATAAGAGTTTAGGTTAGGAGCATATCTATTGGACAATCATGAGTTCTAGCTAAGTTAAACCCAGCTAACCAAGAAATCCTGCTTCATGGAACACTGCCCTGGACTCAAGTCTAGTCTCATATCCTGAATGGACTCAGTCTTATCATGCACTCAGGGGAAGTTTTACTTGGTCTTGACTCTGACACTTGTGACTCAAGAAATATCCATAGCATATATTTGCAGCCTGTATGTAACTGTAACTCCCCCTCAATTTCTTATATTAGCTTCAAAGTTTTTCCAACGTTGTGCATGCACCCACGTGTTTCAAATACAGAAACCATAAAGAGGATCTGTGCGAGACATCCACTTAAAAGAAGCACACTATGGGATGCAAATACTGCAAATGATCTATTACTTAGGTGATTGGCATGATTTCAAAATTCTACTGACATCTGGAACATAAAGGTACGCAGGGCTGGAAATTAAGCTTAACTACTATAACCCCCCTGGCAACCTCTATTGCCCAGTAGTTGATCCTGGCAAAGGCAAGGTGGGGGCAGTCGCTATGGGTGGCATTATCTGAGGGGACGTCTGTGGTGAAGCTTGCCTAGGGCGCCATATGGGCCTCAACCACCACTGCTACCACTGATACCAAAATAAATGCGCAAATAATCAGACAAAAGAAACCATGATTAGTTATTGTTTTTATATTATACAATAGCACAATAAACAATATAATAATAAGGAGCATTGTTATGTAATGGGAAAACATACAAATAAACAAGTAATTACAAATAATAATATATCTTGAATAACAGGTGCTTTGAAGTTGCAACATGTTATTATTTCTTTGATTGTGTTAACTTTAACTGCATTTATTTTATATACTCCAAAGGGAGAATAGTAACTTAAGCAAAGATTTTTAAAATCAAACACTTTATTTGAATGGACATAAGTAACTTAATAAGTACAAATCATAAACAAATATAGTTACTGTGTGAAATAAATGAACTGTTATGACTGATTAATGATGAACAAACATGGGGTCAGTACATAGTGAACACAGACTATAAAATCTTTTTTTTGATGATATTACAACATGATTGTGTTTGTGATTAATTACCAAAGTGTGCGCCAAAATCTACATGTCTTTGGCAAAAAACAACATAGTACTTACAAATTGTGTATATCAGTCTATAAAATAATTCCTCCTTGGTAAAATAATAATCTTAATATTCATATAATTTTTATTATGCTATTGACTGTAGTTAAGCAACTGATTGTGCACTTTTGCATTTATTTATAATATTCTTAAACTACAAATGATTATAATTTTTATACATTTAATAAGAACTTACAGTGCTTTAAAATGTAGGCCAAAGGGAAAACTAAGATTTCACTGTTTAGTTTTTAGATTTAATGGTTTAAACCAAATCAGACTATGGTCTGTTCACAATGTGAATGCTTAACGTCAAAATATCTGACCTTATTGCTGAGCTGTCCTCCAGCTAATTCAAAATGTAATGGAGATTCTGTGACCCCTGACCTATTTTAACATTAATTGCTGCCATTTAACATCTTCAGGGCACTTTATAATATTAAGGCACTTCAACGGACCTGTTATACATTTCCTCAATTAACATATTAGGGTGACCTCTCTCATCCCATGAACTTTGGTTTCTTTCACACGAGAATGCTGTGGCAGGGAGACAGAGGTTCTGAAAGTATTAAAAATGACACCTCATTAATCATACAGACGGCATTTGTTCCAGTGAATTGCTCAGATTTTCCCAACCATAATAGAGTCTGATTAGAAAGAGAGAGCAGCAAACAAATTACATAATGCTCACCTCTTATTAAACGGTGGACATTGACTGATAAATTGCACTTTTTCTGTTTAGCACTGGCCACCTAATTGGAAAAAGAATTGGAAATCAAATTTTAGAGCCCTCCTTGATCAATGGTGTTCATCTGAATTATTCCTTTTTGTGTTGTCATCATGTGGTTAGGTATTTGCACCTAATATATTCTCCAGTTTACCCTCCACTGAGAGATTTCCAAAATAAAATAGTCATTGTCAAGCAAGCTGATAAGCTAAAATGTGCAGAGTGGCCGAGGGAATGAATCACTGTCTGCTGTCAGTACACTTAGTAAAACATGTTTTTCTCATATCACAGCAGCTGTCAAAAATCACTGAGTGACAGTTTTAACAGATAAACCTTAGGGACATCAAGCATCTTCAACAGATGGCATTCCCTGCTCCCAACAGCAGAACAGCACAAATACAGGTGTTTTCACTAAAAATGAGGCTTGTTAGAATGCCATTTTTAAAGTCACCTCCAAACAACTTCCTCCCAAGAACAAATAAAGAAGTAAAAGCCAAACATACAAAAATGACAGCTTCCTGCATGTCTTTCAGAAGGAAATGTGCATACTAATGAGGTGTAATAATAATATAATTATAATGGTTACTTAGGATTCAAAGCAAGATTTGGTAACACTTTCTATGAATACCATGTCTTAAGAATCGATTAGCACATTCCTAACCCATTATAATGCATTCATAAAGCATTATAAATATGATTATATAAATATTTAAAAATGCATTACACATTATGTTTTTCATGCATTATGAATTATTAAAGAAGCTCTCATCTATAATACACTATAGATACCTTTATAATGCAGCACAAAGCATGCTTAATTCTTATACCGACCATTACAATGCATTATGAAGGTATCTATAGTGCATTTTACATGAGAGCTTCAATGGAGCTTATGAAGTATTATAATCAACACTATAATGCTTTATTACTGTCAATAGAAGATACTGTAATGGTTTATTAATTTTTTATACTGATCATTATAATGCATTATGAAGGTATTTATAATGCATTATAGATGGCAGCTTTAAGTAAAGTGCTACTCAGCATTTTTGTACACTTACATGTGGCAGGAAGTCCTTTGCTGAAAGGCACATGAACAGCATCTCCTCTGGGCCGGTAACTGGTACCAGTTGGGATACAGATCCTCATCCCTGACCATTTCACTAGCTGATGGCCTTCAAGAAAAAATACACTGATGTATTCTGAGAGGAAGCATTGTGATGCATTAATCATCAGAAAAGCACAAAGCTCAGGGTTCAGTCAACAGTGCAAGTGGGTTGTGAGGTCTTCACCTGGTCTGTCAGGACTGTATGCTTGAATTATATTAATGGTCTTTGAGCCGGCTCTGCCTGCTTAGTTCAAACATTATTATTTTTAACCCAAGTCTTTCCAAAGACAGACTGCTATAAGCTGCTATTGATGTAAGATGACTCTCACAAAGTGAATATCTAGCCAGGACATCGCAGTGACTTCGAGTGTCCTTGAATGTGCTGTGAGTGACACTGCAAATGAGTTCAGCCCTGCAACTTAGAAAAAGTTTAAAAAGCAATAAATAAATCCAGGCGCTCTGCTGTGCATTCTAACTTGGTCATGAAACTATTTATTCCAGGTCAGATATAAATAACTCTGAAGGATGTCAGTTATGACCTAAACCACTGACAAGTCTGTATATTTTTTGAGAGTTTGTGTATCACTAAAGGAGTCTTAGAGGTCTGACATATTTAATCTATCAAATCTCAAGTGAGTGGCGGTAGTCTTATATTATGAATTGACATAAACTCAGCTACTTAAAATTTTTATAAAGGAATAAAGGAGGGAGTCTCGCAATAATTTAGCAGAAAATGTTATTGTTATTATATGGAAAATTATACTTATTGGGATTATAATTTATGTGCTTTAGCCACAAAGATAAAACAAGGAAGCAAAGGTTCATTTGTACTGTTGTTAGATATTGACTTCTACTTCAGTGATTCATTTTTATTTATTCCCAGATTAATTCTGAAATTCCAAATGATTCTAAAATAATTAAGCACAGTCAAACAAACATTACACACACACACGCACACACTCCACACTTCTCTGTGGAGAGAAACAGACAATCTAAAAGAAACCAGTTGAAACAGAGGAGAACAAGTAGAATTTATTTTTGCATAATTAATTTAACAAATATGTTTACATCAGTAGGCAGAATTATATCATTGAATTCTGGTGACATATGCATTACTATTAGTGTAAAGTCAAAACGGGGCTGATGCAGAAATACAGTTTTTAAACCTGCAACAAGAGCGAAGACGAAGCGGTGGTGGTGATGGCAGCATTCAGACGGAAAGTGTCCGAGCAGAAAATGCTTTCTCCATTCCGGAGTATGATGCGAGGAGGGACCTCCGGAGAATGAGCTCCAGGAAAGCAGCAGGACCTGAAGGCATCTCAGGTGGAGTCCCTGGAGCCTGTGCCGACCAGCTAACACCAGTGTTCACAGAGATACTCAACGTCTCACTGGCACAATCGCTAATCGCCGCGTCTTTTAAAAAATCTATTATTGCTCCTGTACTGAAGAAACCAGCCTGCCTGTTTCAATGACGATCGTGCAGCAGCCGTGACCTCAGTTGTGATATGCTGGTCAGACTTCATCACCTCTTCACTCCCTGATACCCTGGACCTATTACAATTTGCGTACCATCCCAATTGCTCCACCATCGATGCCACAAGTCATTTGGAAACCAGGAAGGGTAATTATGTTAATATGCTGCTTGTTGACTAGAGGTCAGCATTTACAGTAACACCATAATTCCCTCAAGACTCACCAAGAAGTTGGAGGACCTGGAACTCAATCCATCACGATGCCAGTGGATCTCCAACTTCCTGACCAAGAGACCGCAAGCGGTATGGGTGGGCAAACATGTCTTATCGTCTCTCACCCTCAGCAATGCAACCCCTCAGAGCTGTGTACTGAGCCCCCTGCGGTTCTCATTGTACACCTACGACTGTCTGGCCACTTCTAATTCTACCACCATGGTCAAGTTTGCTGACAACACTGTTGTGGTGGGCCGAATCTCTGATAATGATGAGAAGGCCTACCTGGAGGAGATTAAAATCCTGGAAAACTGGTGCTAGGACAATAACCTCCCCCTGAACATCAACAAGACAAAGGAGTTAATTGTGGACTTTAGGCATAAAGCAGGAGAGGGGCCATCATCCGCAATGAGCAATCAATGAAGCCCCAGTTTCTGGTACCTTGGTGTTAACACTACACAGGATCTGTCCTACTAACTCCCTGGTCAGGGCAACCAGGGCAACACTTACTGTAGGACTGACTTGGTTGTTAATCACCCCCTATTCCTATTACAATCTATTTATTACTTATAGGACTACCTCTGCCTGCTGTTGCACTGCTTTATTATTGCTTTATTTGCATATGTTACTATTTGCACATAATACTGCATCTGAACACCCCCCAACTGTTAGATTCCTACAAGTAATTTCTTATCTAACGCTCCCACTGTTGTATTGACGTGACAGACTGTCGTTAAACAACATTTCACTGCGAGTCATACTGTCTATGATTGTGTATGATTGATATGCGACAAATTAAATTTGAATTTGAAATATTTCGAAACATCAACAGGAGTAAAAGACCGTTGACAGCTTATAATTACATATAATAAAGCCACTCAGTCAAGAAGTCAATTGAAATTTGACAAAAAAATTATTTCTTGACCAGAGAGCAAAATAAATTGTCTATTTCTTTCCCGATTAGTTTATACATGTGAAGTCCAACAATGTAGCTATTTTTGCTATTTAATATTGTGAGTGCTATCTTAGATTTTCATATTATATTGTGGAGAAAATTTCTTAGTAACACTGTTTGCCTTGAATGGCATTATAAATTTAACTCCAATATCTGGTACATTCTGTGGATTACCAACCAGGATATATAAGAGGGCTGCCTATATATGGTGTGTCCTTTGCTTTGTGACATAGATTTTGTTTGGATAGGAGGGCCATAAATAATATCCCCATGTATAGCGACTGAGCAGAAGACAGCCAACCGGCATGCTTCAGAGAAGCAGGGTATAAATTAGTTAGACGTTTCTTAGATTGAGTGACCTGGTCATAGTCATTCACTTTATGACATTAACCAGAATATATTGAAGGCATGTTTACTTCGGAAGATAGAACAGAATAGGGCAGGATCGCACGTGTGCACACTGATTCAAGAAGGCATTAGGACAAAATGCGCTTTGTGCGAGAAGTGTATATAATCTGCGTTTGACTAAAATAAACTACTAATAAGCAAAGTGTGGCCCATCACTATTCTGTTCAGTTATTCATATAATTGGTCCAGCACTCGTAAAAGCTGACAGAGTACTAGAGTGAAGCCTACTCCAAATCTAGTACGTGTACTTCATTAGACCAGCATAACAATTACAACAC